AGCAGCTGTCCTCCGCTCGTCCGCGGTGTCCATCGACTCCGTCCCAGCGGCTCCCTTGCGGCAGCTCAGGACTGATCCACCTCGGCAGCTCTCTCTCTTCGTTAGCAGGGGTCTTCGGCTAAAACAGGCCTCCTTAGAACGGATTCCCTGTCGGTCCTTACTTGCTAATAATAATAAGGAAACGATTCACCTGAGATTCCTTTGGTCCGTCCGATGCTCCTGAGCCTGACTTCGCTCTCCCTCGGCGGCAGCGAATCTTCTCTGAAGTCCTCTTCCTCCTGACCCAACCTCTCGACACCCGCACTCTTATTTTATACACCAAATTCGGGCCACGCAGGCTCGCGTCCTATTCGCCTTACCGTTAGGACGCGACATCCACCTGCAGCCGGGAAGCCCGCTTTCGGCTTCCTCACGATTTTCCGAGTGACGGACGATAACAAAAAATCGTCACGTCACAGTACATAAATCTTCTAATTCACTTTCGTCAGAACTATCATCACACTGCTCTCACACAATGTTTTCATAACAGTGAAGCACATTAGTATTTTCACTTTTTTATTCATTTTGACGTATTTTCTTATTATCGCGCGGAAAGGTTAGCTGCTGCTTGCAGTGCACTGCAAATTATTCCGAAATACGACGTCACAATTCTGCTGGCAGTATTAAATCTATTTCGGAACGGCTGCGGCAGTGTACTACCCTTACAGAAATATCATACAGAGAATCATTGATTAATTACTTATTTTCAGTATTAAAAGTACAGTGTTTAGTAATATTCTGTGATTCAAATACAGCTCTTATGGCTTTTACACATAGGACGCGGTAATGCTTGCCGCGCGGCGGAAGTCCGCGCGACAGCCAATCAATATGTTGTTTTTCTGTAAAAGCTAGAAGGTTATTACGGAAAGTAGCATATTGATTGGCTGTCACGCGAACTTCCGCCGCGCGGCAAGCATTACCGCATCCTGTGTGCAGGAGCCATTAGTGCTCAAGTGTTTAGTGTTACAAATACTATCTTATGATTGATTTTAATACTTAAATATTGATATGTAATACTTCATTCAGTGATAAAATATTTTCGCAGAGCATTGTCAATATTTAAATACTAATACGAGGGCTGCTCCGTAAATTTTGCGACTTGGCAACACTGGCGTTGCTAGGTAAAATCTAACCTTACCATCAAAAAGTTTGACAGTTTGGAAGATTTTTTTACTCGAAACGTTTTGTCGTACGGAGGCTACTTGTATTGTTTACAGTGACTTGAAAATTGTGTCTCAGCGAAAAAATGGAATTAACACGAGAACACTTTCGTGCGATGATTTTTTACGACTTTCGACGTGGATTATCGAGACAAGAGTGCATCGATCAACTTGCTTCCACTTTTGGCAATGAAGCACCACACAAGGCCACTATTTGTCGCTGGTTTAATGAATTCAATCGTGGTCGTAGTTCGCTCATCGACGAACCTCGCGAAAGTCGTCCAAAATCAGCTGCTGTACCAGAAAACATCGATGCTGTGCGTGAATTGATAAAGCAAGATCGACATGTGGCATACCGTGAGATTCAGGCATCCCTGGGTGTTGGTATGAATTACATACAAACGATATTGCATGAACATTTGGCCGTAAAAAAAATTTGTTCACGTTGGATCCCGCATAATTTGACAATTGCTCAAAAAAAGGATCGTGTAAATTGGTGCAAAAAAATGCTGAAGAAATTCGATCGAGGTGCGTCAAATGCCGTATATAACCTCTACACAGGTGACGAGTCATGGATCTATGCATATGAGCCGGAAACTAAACAGCAGTCGACTGTGTGGGTCTTTCAAAATGAATCTAACCCAACAAAAGTTGTTCGCGCTCAAAGCACTTCGAAACAAATGGTCGCCTGTTTTTTTCGGAAAAACTGGTCATGTGGCAATAGTACCCTTAGAGAAACGTAGAACGGTCAATTCTGAGTGGTACACAACCATTTGTTTGCCAGAAGTCTTCGGCCAAATAAGGAAAAACAACTCAAGACGACGAATCATTCTTCACCATGACAATGCGAGCTCTCACACATCGGCTCAAACAACCGCCTATTTGACCAGTGAAAACATCGAATTAATGGGTCATCCACCGTATAGTCCTGATTTGGCACCCAATGACTTCTTTTTGTTCCCGAACATCAAGAATAAATTGCGTGGTCAACAATTTCCGACGCCAGAAGAAGCGGTTGATGCGTTTAAAACACATGTTTTGGAGGTACCACTTTCGGAGTGGCATGGATGCTATAATAAATGGTTTGAGCGAATGCAGAAGTGTATTGATCATCATGGAGAATACTTTGAAAAACAATAAAGCCATTTTCAATGACAAATTACCGTGTTTTCCTTACTAGTCGCAAAACTTACGGAGCAGCCCTCGTATGTAATACTTTCCTAAGTGATGAAATAATTACGCAAAATACTGTCAAGATTTAAAGTATTAACCCAGACAGCACACAATATTAATAATAAATACTTATAAATATTCATTTCGAATTATTTTTTAAAAATATTATATAAATATTTTGTAAATATTTTTTTATATACATAAAAAAGGAAAAGTATCAAAATCTTTATTTAAAATATTATTAAAATGTAGACTAAAAATTTTATACAATATCTATGGTAAACAAAAAATAAATATTAATAGTAATATTTTGTAAATATTTCAATAAATATTACACATGAAAAAAATAAATATAATTATTTATAATTATTAAATTAATGGAGAAATAAGAAAATCGAAATTTAAATTGGTAATGTACATTAAAAAATTCTTTAAATCAAAGAAATAATTTTATTAAATATAATTTCTTAACTTAAAAAATATTTGTTAGATTTCGCAAAATATGTAATAAATATAAAGTAATATTTTTTTAAATTTGTAAAATAAGCTGTAAAATTATGAATTTTTAGATAAAAAATGACTTCTTTGATTTAAAACATGTATATATAAGATATATAAGATTAAGCAAATGACTTCCTTACAAGGAGAAAATTAGTTTTTTTAAATATGAAAACTGTGTTTCAATAAATATTTGCTTCTTTTAAAAGTAAATAAAATACAAGTAAATAATTTTATAAACCTAAATAAATTATTTTCTAATATTAAAAGTATCTTTTTTGTGTTTCAAAAATTCAAGTTTCTTTTATTTTCAAAAAACAATTTATTTAAATGTACAAAATAATTTATTTGTATTTTACTTACTTTTAATACAAGTAAATATTTTTTTAAATATACTTTTTACATAATTTTTAAAAACATACTTTTTACATTTAAACGAATTTTATTCTCTTCTTTTAAATAAATCATATGTTTTCATACATGGATATACTATATGTATACGAAACATCTCTCAGTCAAAGTGACAGTGGTGCAGTAGGCAAACTGAACAACTCAAAAACCAGAGGTCTCAGGTTCGAATCTCAGCCCATATAGCACGAAAGCTTTCAGCAACATTGCTACAACGTTGCAAGATTGCATATTGCAGTGCAATGTTACAAAGACATTGCAGTGACATTAATTTGCAATATTATTTTAGCAATATTACAACAATATTTCAAAAATATTACTGATATAATATAATATTTTTTACTTATTTACTAGTTATTTTTGTTACTCGTATCTCAAATTCAGTAATGTTTCACATTAATAGTACTTATAGAATAGTACTTAGAATAGTACTTGTTAGTGGCAGTAGTTATTAATAATAGAATTTATCTTATTGCATATTTCTTATACTTCTTATACAGTTTTTCGGAGAAAATACTTTCTTTAGATTTTATATTCGTACTTGTTTAATTTTGTGATTTTTTTGTTTCTTTAAAATATATTCTTAAACGAAATATCATCTTTTAAAATGATAAATATGAAAATACAAATTTTTGTTTCGTTCAAGGAAATCATGTCATTTGATGAAACAACACATTGTTTTAAATAGTATTTTTTAAAAGTTTCTTTCAAAATTTAGTAATTCGATTTATTTAATTTAGATTTTCTTGGATTTTTTTATTTTTTTTTTGTTTGAATTAATCATTATAACATTCTGTTAAAAATTTAAAAGTAATTATCACTGGTTTACTACATTACATCAATATTCATCGTATATCGAATGTTGTTACATTGTTTCAATATCTATCAGCAAATTATTCAACAAACACCAAGTAAAAATCATATAACTATTATTTATTATTAAAAATCATGTAACTATTATTTAGTGTTTGCTATGTATGTTATAATATACTGTGGACATTATAAAGATACATTATATAAGCACAAATCGTGAGAATATCGTTGGAGTCACTGGGAATCGCCGCGTGTCGATTGATCGTCAGGTTAAGGAACATTTTAATGGAGTCAGGATATGGATGGGTAACCGGTGGTATACCGCTTGGGATCGAAATTATCAAGGGAGAATTCAAAGTTTAGAGTGTTGACAATCTTCGATACCTAGTGGTTTATGAGACGTGAGAAAATGAAAAATTATATTTTTTAAAATATAATTTTCTCGTTTTTTACCTTCGTACAATAATTCTTAGTATCTGATTACTATCAATATTTAACAGTGATTTTATTATCAGTATTCGCCAGAAATTAAATACTGGCCAAAAAATTACTGAATTACTGGTAATACTTAATCACTAATAATTTTTCAGTATTTCTTAGTATGATATTTCTGTAAGGGTGTCATGACGTCATTTCGACAGCACTGCCAGTAAAAACGGAACACGGCCTATGTCGTTACAATTGTGACGGCGGCGCCGGCTCGTTTCCCGTTTTCTCAGGACATTGGCCAACCAGATTTTTTTCTCGGAGTTCCTTCGCGTAAACGAGTCTCTTGCTTCCTTCTCTCGCTTCCTCTTCGAGCTTGCAACAGAGTGCGTCGTAAATAATCGATTCAGCTCTCCAATAAGCGATGTCTTCGTCCCAGTGGAAACCGTGATGATTGGATGTCAACCATTGGGCTTGGGATTGTTCCAATGTCGTCAGTAAGTTCCATTTCATCGGTGGCAGAAACAATTTGTGTAGCAGTTTTTCCTCCGTTCTTTTTCAATAATGCCACTTCCTTTATTACAAAAGATCTTTTGTTTCCCATGATGAAACCTTGTAGATCGGCAAATATAGGCACCGTTTGAATGTTCCCCTCTACCTCTACCTCCTCCTCCTCTCAGCCCGACAGGAATATTGCGGAATGACTCCATGATGATGATGATGATGTATTATGGGAACGACGACGACAATATTTTCCGAAAACAAATGCGCGGAGCAAATGTATTGTATTTCTCCCACACAAATCAGCGGAATTATGCAAGAATCTTGTGTACGACTCTGCTTTATATACACAACGATCAACAGGAAAATATATGTGATAATCAAAAAGGATAAGTCGTAGCTGTCAGCGATATCGTTTATCTTTGAGAGAACGTGGAGAATGATTGACATAAGCGACGTTCCTCCTTTTGCGCAGATCCAGCAATGATTATATTATCTTACGCACCATATTGGTGAGCGGATTATACTTGATCAATCGATCGTGAATGATGAGACAGTATGCAGTTGTATTGTTCGGTACGTTCTCTTTGCATTCGAATTCTATGCGAATGTCGACGGTTGCGCTCTTGATCGATTCATTCTGATGCGAACAATCGATCACAACAAACGGACCGTGTTGTAGAAAATTCTCTAAGGTCATATACACGTCGTCCGTTTCGAGACTGTAATACGTCTTGCGAAATCTCGAGTACATATCGTACAATATTGCGATTTTGCGCACTTCGAAATTCAAATTCATGTCGTTGTAGGGATAAAATTCGAAATTCAGAAACAATTTAACGTTCGTGAGATCACAGTGGTCAAACACGGAAGCGTCTTTGTTCAACATATTTTTTCGATTGTTTTGCAGGGCGAACACAACGTATCGCGGTTTTTCCAATTGCGTCGCGGCTTTCACGGCCCACGAATGTTTCGTAGTGCTCTGCAGCAGCGGATACTCGTACAGATCCCACGAGCGAAAAGCCATGCTCAGATATCTATCGCTATCCAGAGTACGCAACAGCGACAATTTGTTCACGTCCTTCAGTACGATATGCGGCATTCGCCATTGCACCTTGAATAGCGTGATCTTGGGTTGATGCTGTTGTTCTTGATCAGTCACGAAACAATTCGCATCGCTACGCGCGTGTTTCAGTATCAATTCGTGCCGCGCATTTATCACTATGCGTTTGTAATCCTCGCAAAAGCCCAACAGCATATCCAGCGGCACGCAAAAGTTGAATTCGTGCAGCGGCGACGATTTGCCGTTCTCCAATAACCAGCCGGCGTTTTCCATTTTTTTGCTTTTTCCTCTGTCCAGAAGAGCGTAATTCTTCAAGATGCTCGTAATTTCCACGTTTCTGCATTTATCGATTTCCACGCCGTCAATCTCGTATCGTATCTCGTCGAACATAAACGCCGCGCAATTGTTCGAGAATCTGGCGGCTGTCTTCGATAAGGCGGGCGGTGCCAAATTATCATTCTTTGACTCATCGTTTCCCTCGATGTAAAGAAAGCTGTCGTACGGCAGCGTATACAGATCTTGTTGCTGAATAGGTATACGTATCTCATCGTTGTAATCGAATGTGGTATTAACGTATGGATTATATGTATGGGTTTCGATTCTGATGACACGATCGTCGAAGGTCGGTCTGCTCTCGATATTGAGAATATCAGTTAGCATGGCGTCGTTAGTTTCTCACCCGAAATCCCAATGATCGTAGAAAGGCGATGTTTGCCGCTAAGTAGACGATGTCGTTGTTGCGCGCGTTTTTCTTTTTCCCAAAGAAGGAAGAAAAAGAGGACGATGACGATGAAAGTACATGCGGCGGCGGCGGCGGGACAACAGACGATGATTCTTTTCTGACGAAAAAATCACTCACAACGAGCATATTTGTTCACAAATGAGCATATTATTATTATTATTATTTTTCACTTCTATTTACGTCACCTTTTATCGTCACCGTTTCATCGCGAAAATTTATCGGTTTTGCATCCTGATCCACCACGATCAGAGTGATGTCAATGATGCTTCTCGCGATGATCGGCATGTAAATGATCTGCGTCGGATTCATATCCGGGCGGAACGTCCGATGAAAATTCGTGTAACGTGTGAACCAATCTGTCGTTGTTGTAAGCACCTGTGGTGATGTTGCACTCCACGCAAATGATATTCACACTCATTATATCGATTGGTTGGTCGCTCATGTGCCAGATGTTCGGAGACAATATATGCGCGGAAAAACCTAAGAGAGAACTAATGTTATTCGGTTTTGTGAAATCTATTCAATGCACAAAATCTCGCTTTTCATGGTTCGCGTAAAGGACAAACGAGGGATCTTCGCTCGTTTACGACGTTTCCTCATCGTCACCTGTATTGTAATGTAACGGTCTAACTTTCCGTTTATTCTCCTGGCATTCGGCTCGCCGGAATCCGGGTTATGAGCGAGTGAGTAGCAGAGGTTCGTGAGGGGATCAAAGTATTCAACGCTGATTTATACTTACAATCTAGTTTTTATTAGGTGAGAAAATATATACATTTATGCGCGGAAAGTATTTACACGTTATACACGTATGTACAAATCGTCTTTCAACGGAGTTACAATGCGAGCCTGCGTGGTAAGCGCGCCGCTGGCCGACGCCTGTGGTGTGGCAACCCGTTGGGTCTGTGGCTCGCCGAGCCGTGCGCCGAGATGATGCGACTTTATCTCGGTGGAGGCGCGGGAGCGCGATGGTCGAGCAGTGATAGGTGGCTGATCTCGGTTTGACCTTGCGTCGGTGGCGGTATACCGGGTCGGTTTTTGCCACGCAGTCTTGGAGGACGCCGTACGGCGGGCGACCCTTGATTCGCTTTGTCGGTGAAACGACGAACGGTGGTCGACTCTCGACTCGTCGTTGTCTGCAGGAGCGGTGTGGACAGCGATCGATTCTCGATATGCTGTCCCAGAATGGATATGCAACTGATGAGAAATAAAAAATAGTTTTGTAGAAAATATTTGTGTTTTTATTTCGTTTTTATCACATCCAACCACAACGCCATATGCCTAGAGATATTCTAGATACTCTATAAACAACGACATATGATTGGATGTGTCCGTTTGTCAATGTGCGCATCTGGGAATCACTCCGATTTTCGTACTACTATTTGTGATGTAGAGCGTGGGTAAATTGTGGTTTTGGTAATTATTTAGTTTAGCGGCAACACCTCCGATTTCGATGAAAATAAACTTAATCGACGCGTTTTTGCTCTGACAAAATCGTCGCTCTTTTTTCTGCGAAGCGAGATATTAATAGACAAAGTTGAGGGCGTATTAGGTTAGAAAATCTGTCATACCATCTATTTCTAGCTATGTAACTGGGGGGCTTCGCCCCCTAGACCCCCCTATCACGGGGGGTGGGGGCTGTAGTCTTTTGTGAGAAATTCACTTTTTAGCTTAAGCACAAGAGACTATAGCCTCCACCCCCCGTGATATGGGAGTCTGGGAGACGAAGCTCCCCAGTTACATAACTAGAGATAAATGATATGATAGATTTTCTAACCTAACACGCCCTCAACTTTGTCTATTAATATCTCGCTTCGCAGTAGAAAGCGACAATTTTGTCAGAGGAAAAAGTTGTTTGGCATACAAAAACGCGTCGATTGAGTCTATTTTCATCGAAATCGGAGGTGTTGCCGCTAAACTAAATAATTACCAAAACCACAATTTACCCACGCTCTACATCACAAATAGTAGTACGAAAATCGGAGTGAGTCCCAGATGCGCACATTGACAAACGGACACATCCAATCATATGTCGTTGTTTATAGAGTCTCTAGAATATCTCTAGGCATATGGCGTTGTGGTTGGATGTGATAAAAACGAAATAAAAACACAAATATATTCTACAAAACTATTTTTTATTTCTCATCAGTTGCATATCCATTGCATAAACAAACGATACATAATTAAATGATGATAAAATAAACGGTGCACATCATTCTGTGTCCAAATGAACAGCAGGCAACTGGACGATGTCCAAGTGAACGGTGTCCAAATGAACAGTGCGCATTCTTCTGTGTCCAAGTGAACAGTGGGCGATTAAACGGTGTCCAAGTGAACGGTGTCCAAATGATCGGTGTCCAAATGAACGGTGTCCAATTGAACGGTGTCCAAATGTACTGTGTCCAAATGAACGGTGTCCAAGTGAACAGTGTCCAAATGAACGGTGTCCAAGTGAACAGTGTGTAACTGAACGACGTGCATTTTCTTTCGTGTCCAAAAACAACGGTGCCCAAAAGTTTCGTGTCCAAACGCACCGTGTCCAATTGAACTGTGTGTCAAATGCCGTGTCCATTTGCAACGTGTCCAATTGTACTGTGTCCAAGTGCACCGCTCCCGTTGCTCGGTCGGTCACCCAATTAGTTGCCTTGCCCGGTCTTTTTGCTGACGGTTCATTCGTTGTTGCCAGTATCCTCAGCTTGGTTGCTGGTGCCGATGTTACTGCTCGTGCTGGTTGTTGTTGCTCGGCGGTGTTGTTGCCGGTGCTAGTGGCGGTGTTGCTGCCAATATTGTGCGCGCTGGTTTAGGTCGCGTTGGTGGTTTGCCGGTTGTAATTGTGGCGGCGGCACATCTTCGGCACCTTGGCGATGGGGGCGACGGAGCCGTAAAAAAGATCGCTTTTCATTTCTGGGCAGCGTCCAATCTTTGTATACGCCTGCCTCTGGCCGGCAACGTCGAGATCGGCGCTCTGGTCGGCGTCGTTTGAGCCGATGTTGTATCGGCCTTCGGCTTCTTCGCCGGCGACGGTGTTGGTAGTGTCGTCGTCGTTTTCGGCGGATGGTCGGCCTTCGCCGTTGTCGACGATGGTGGTGTCGACGGCGAACGAGGCGATTTTGCCTCGTTGTCCTCGTCTTCCGAGGACAGAAATAAATCTGTCCATAGGACATCCACTCCTTCGTTCTTATAAATTTGCTGAGCTGGCATCCTTAGAACTGTTCCTTTCGCTGTCATCCGGAACAGTAATGTTTTATGATTTACGAAGCTCACTTATATTTCTCATTGTTTCGTCCTCGTCGTCCTCCTCGATTATTATTTTCCGGCTTTAGGTCCTGAACGTGTATATGCCGATGCCATCGACCATTCCTATCTTTAAGATCGACGACAACCGGCGATATTATTTTCTTTACCGTCATTGGTCCTACGTATTTTCACGCTAGCTTGGCGTTAAATGCTTTCGCCTTATTTCATAGCGCGTATTCTCGCTTCCACACTTTTTCGTTTATCCTTGGTTTCCAATTCCGTCGCCTGAGATTATAATATTTTTCTTGTCTTTGAAACGCTCGTGCCATGTTTATTTTGACCAGCTCGTAGGCTTCTTTAAGTCGCTTCTGCTGTATCGTCGGTTTTTTGTTTTCGTCGTTACTGTTAGGTGTACTGGTTATTTCTCGCCCGCTTAGATATGCGGGCGAGTATCCTGTTGACTCCTGGACTGCCGTGTTGTAGACGAACTGCGGCGCCGGCAGGTGAATGTTCCATTTCCGGTGGTCCCGTTTCACGTATTGGGCACCATAGTTCTTAACACCCTGTTGGTTCTCTCTACCGGGTTGCAGTGGGGTGCATGAACGGGGGTGGCGCGGTGATTTATTTTAAATGTTTTTAACATTTGCGCCAGTCGTTGGGATTTTAGCTGTGTCCCATTATCGGACACAATAGTTTGGGGACAGCCGTATCTATAAATAATATAATCGGTTAATGTTTGCGTAACGATATTTGCCGTTGATCGCCTTATTGGTCGCATTTCTAGCCACTTCGTGAATCGGTCCTGCATTATCAGGATCCACGTGTGGCCGTTATTCGATCGCGGTAAGGGGCCAATGAGATCCATGGTGACTTGTTGCCATGAACTCCCCACCGCGGTCGCGTGTATTCGCTCGGCTGGTTTTGCTTGGTGTGCTTTACGGGCCAGGCATTTCTCATATGTTTTGACGTATTTCGCTATCTCGCGGAACATGCCTGGCCAATAAAACCGCCGGGCTATGCGAGCAATGGTTTTCGCTATTCCCAGGTGGCCGGCGGTGGGTTCGTCATGAAATTTTTTCATGACTTCCAATCTATCTTCTTTCGGTATACATTCTTTCCATTGATCCTCTATTCGTATCTCTTTGAAGTCGAGGTCATGGAGAATGTGTCTCATTAATTTACCTTCTAGTATTTTATAGTCTGGTCGCGCGGTTGGTTCTTCGGCCACCTGGGATATTACTTTCTGGTACCATTGACATGCTGGGGTAAGGCTACACAATTGTGGTTGCCTGGACAGGGCGTCGATGACCGTGTTCAGACTGCTTCGCCGATAGTGTATGTCGAAGTCGTCTTGCTATAGTTCAATTATCGATCTTGCTAGTCTTCTGCTTGGCGCCTCCATTTTTTGCAACCACTGGAGGGATTTGTAGTCCGTAATGACCGTAAATCGGTATCCCTCCAGGTAGTCGCGGAGGCGTCTTATTCCCCAGACCACGGCGAGGCATTCTAACTCGGTCGCGCTATAGTTTCGCTCTGCCCTGTCCAGCGTTCAGCTTGCGTACGCGATTACTCGTTTCTCGCCGTCTAATTGTTGCGTGAATACGGCGCTTAGTCCCTCCGTACTGGCATCGGTTTGGACGACAAATTTCTTCGAGAAATCAGGCTAATACCGGTGTTGTTGTTA